TTCAAAGCTCACTACACTGAGATTTTCAAAAGAAACTCTTTGTTTTCTTTGGTATCTTTTAGAACTTTGGCAAATAGGAATTTCTTTTCATGTCACTGATACAATTGATACATTTTGTCAAATGAATCTGGATTTTCCGCACAGAACAATCGATCATTTTGCAAAAAAGTTTTTTCAATGGTTTTATCCACTTTCACACTGGATAAAGATGTTTAAAACTTTTTCTTTGAAATTTAAAGATCTCAGAACTTCTTAAGATAATGTTTATGTGACTTTAATTTTTCAAAGACAAGGTTATTTCACTCAAGCAGGAACATATGCTCATTTCTCTCATGTCAACGAATATGCCGTCCAACCATTCAACATGCATCAAAATTGGGAGTATTATCCAAAGGAATTTCGAGAATTTCAAAGGCGCATGACAGAAATTAATCAGACAATTCCTCCGCAGATTTGGCTAGCTTATGAAGATGATGCACCATGGGAAGCTTTACCAGTGGAATACACTCAGAAAATTCAACAGGATATTCAAGTCTATCAGGAAACATATTTCCAGAGATTTCTCACTGTGTATGATTCAGACTACGACTATGCATTTGACTGGCAATGGGGACAATTATTTCAGGGAAGGCCGACACAAAGCCTTGGTGAAACATCAAGATTTTCAGAAAAGACTCCACAAAGACGCCAACAAAGAGAAAAGCAGTTGGAGATTTCAAATAAACTTCTACAAAGTTTGGATCGTAGCGTACAAAAGGAAAAGGAATTTCTTGAAAAGGAAATTAAAAGAATTGAAAAAGAACTACGACCAGACTCTTGGTGGAATTCTACAGCAAAAGCAGAATCTAGCAAAGGAAAATCACAAGATGCAGGACCAAGCCAAACAAATGAACCACATGACAGTCTTTTCCAAGATTCACAAGATCCATGGCCAAGTGAAAAAGACATTAATACCCCTTGGTTAAATCAACACGGTTTACCATCGCAACCAGAAGATTCCATGAATCTTGACACACCATGACAAAGGTGACAACATTCTGACGAAGACATCAACATCACTTTAATAAAGCTACTTTATTAAGACTACTTTTTAAAAGTTACTTTATTAAAGCTACTTTATTAAAGAAGTTTGTCCTTTTGAAATCATGTTTTAGATAAGTTTTGTAATATCGGGACATGTTTTAAGTGTGTAGGTCTCATATGAATATTTTAATATTTTCTCTCCTCTATATAAGGAGATCTCCGCCTCATTGTAAATCATCTTGAAATCAATCAAACTATTGTGTTTCTATATCATGTTCTTCTTCTTAAACTCTTCCAATTCTTACTTAATTTCAGAAGGTACAAAGTAGATGTAGATTTGAGTGATATGGAGTAAGATCTGAGTAGAAACATAAGTATGCTCTGCAGGTGCACCTTCATGGTGAACCTCTGCATCAGAAAGTGCTCTACTAACTGTATAATCCGTCCGGGGTTACAGTGATTCACAGCAAAGTCCGAAAGTCAGGCCCCTTGTTGAAGCCTGTTGAGGCATTGTTTGGGCTAGAATACCGTGACTTACTGTATGTTGCTGTCACTCTGCCATTAATTGTGACTTATAAATAGATAATGTGTGATTAATAAATAATATGTGGTCTAAAAGATATATGATTTGCGATGTTGTTAAAATCAATCCGACTAGTCAATTCGATCAGTAGAATCGAGAACCGGACCTAAAACTGGGCCAATCATGCCCTGTTAACTGTAAATCGGTGAACCTATAGCAATTTTACCAATTTAATTTGAAAACTTTTAACCTCAAGAATGGGCCTCATGCACTATTATCAAAGGCCCGTAGAGGAATATTGGATGATATGCTCCTTTAACTAATGTACTTCTCTCAAATGATTTCATAAATTTTCAATGTGTGGTATAACAGAAAATGTTAAAATGTCCATTAAAACTATTTTCCAAATGTATGTTTAATTGACTAATTTGATTTTGAATCACAACTAACTAAATTGTAATATCCACATCCATCTTTTCATTTATTTAATTTTCAAATTGAACGTAAATTGCACTTGATTATTAATATAATAATGTTAGATACTATTTTCTATAGGTTTAAACAATTTCAGTTTAACAAAACAAACTATTTTAACAAATTGGTTTTTAATTTTTGAAGTATCAAGACTAATTGTAGGATAATAAATTTAATTAATAAAGATAGATTTACTTTGAATTATTAACATAAATATTTTAAAAAATATTGCTTTCATAGTATTTTATTGTTTGTGTATATATATTATTTATTTATTTATTGCATTTGGTTCGATCCTAGTTCAACCACATTTGAAACATTTGACCTTTGGCTCAAGACCTTTTCCGAGTCGATGTCCGGATCGATTTTCAAAACATTGGTGATTTGCGATTAAATTTGTAATTGCAACCTACAATATTGTCTTTGTGACGGTGATTTTGTGTGATTTATGACTATTACATGATTGTGAACATAAATTGTATATTTTTTGACTTGTTTAATTAATTAAAAAGTCCAAAATTGTTATAAGGTGTGACTATCTGATTTCTAAAAGTTGATGTTTTTTCATAAGTTTATTATTTTTGAAAGTGAATCTTGAAACTTTATAGTTATATATTTTTCCATTCCTTAAGCCTTAATCACTAATAAAATTAACGAATCTGGTCTGAATAACCTAAAATAGAAACTTTGCTACAATTGTGATTAGGCCCATCAACTTCTCAAAAATTGCAAAACTTGCTCAAATAATTATTGAGCAACTAAGGACTACTCTAATTTATTGCACTATAAAACAATGTTCCAAGCCTCCATGGAATTTCATAACAAATAATAATGCAGAGAAATTTGGGATATTATATCTCTTATCACTTCGAAAGAATCTGTACTTCAAAATTACCTCAAATTCAGTTGAATAGCTTTCGACGTTTTTTGCATTGATCCCATCTTCATTTTTCCAAATAGACTCTGACTAATGTATTTCCTTAGTACTCAATATCTAAATCTTCTTATCAAGAATAACTATCTGAGTTTTCTCATAATTGTAAGTCATGCATCTTTGAATATCAAATGGCTGATTATACCTACGAGACTTTGATGGACAATATCCCTTGTGAGTTTAGACATACCGAATATGTTATGTACAACTGGTAACCCTAAGACAAGGCCAATTGGTAAGCCATACTACTATCCCATTCTAATTCTGGAAGGGGCCGATAAATCTTGATTTTGATTTTTCTTTGTTATCAAAATTCAAAATCCCCTTTTGTTGGTGCCTCTCTCACCAAAACCTTATAGCCAACTAGAAATTCAAAATCCCTTCTTCTATCGTTAGCATAGCTCTTCTGCTAATTTTGGGCTGACATTATTCTTTATTTTATTAATTCGTTGCTTAAACCATTTGCTCAATAATTTTTGGTCCTAAAATTCTTTCGTAGTCGACCTCTTTCTAGTAGAACTGTAAATTTGTACTTTTTACCATATAGGGCTTCATATGGTGCAACCCCTATTGCAACTTGATAATAGTTGATATTGTTGTTATGGGCAATTTTATCCATGGTAAGTTTTTTCCTAACTACCTCCAAAATCTAGAGTGCATGCTCGGTACATATCTTTTATGATATGCACTAGCATCCACACGTCCACATATGGAAGACCATATTGAAATTTAACTTTGTTTTTATAATTCCTCGCAAACTTTTCTAAAATCTAGATATAACTCTTGGATTTATATTTGATATGATGGAAACTACTACTATAATATGACGACATTGTTAATGTATAGTTGAGTATACTAGTGAAACTCATTCATACTGATACATGAAGAAAGCATGTTGATTGATGGATATAGAATTGAAGTTGGTGAGATCTAACTAAAATTTCATTTATTTCTTGAATTAGTCAAATCTTATTTAAAATTTTGAGAGAATATGAAAAAACTGAAAGTTTTCAAATTCAAACCACAAATTTAGTCCCTATTTGGTGGTCATTATTTACCAACAACAATACTTTAGATAGTGAATTTTTGAAGAGTATTTGGTTAGAAAATAAGAAAAGTTTTGAATTTATGTATATAATATTTTATTATGTGAATATGTAATTAAAGATGAGTACTTAAAAAAAAAAAAAAAATTAAAGGCAGTCAAACTTTACATTGAAAATCTCACAAACAATCTTATCAAAAAAAAAAAAAAAAAAAAAACACACAAACAAAAAAAAAAAAAAACTAA